TGAGTACTGGGACGTGGGGATAACACCTTCTGCTTTTTTTTTTTTTCTAAGCAAGTCACATTTACCCTCTCTTGGGTAGCTCCCTGTTTACCAGAATCTTCTAGCTAGCTGGTTATTCTGCAAAAGCAAGACCAAGTTAGCTGTTCTGCAAATTCAGACTTCCATAGGCCAGGCTTGCTTCAAGGGGCAAAACACCTGCTCACTTGTGCCCGCGTGCCCTAAGCAGGGGGGGCAGCACGGCCTGGCACACAGTCTCCCAGAGAGCCCGGGGTGCAAGCCAGGAGGCCGGGCCCCGAGGTGCCGTGGTGGAGGCTGCAGGCAGGGTCCAAGGGCCATTCCCGACTGGGTTTTCTGAGCAGGTCCCTGGGATGGTCCCTCCCTGTGGACTGAACACCCGTTACAGCAGGTGTATTTTATTTAACTGGCACGTAAAAGAGCCACTTTCTCCAGGGCCGGCGGTCTGGTTATGACTGTGGGTTCGGGAGTCGGACCCTCCAGGGCCCGAGCTCCTTGGCAGCCCTGGTGGGGCCATGCGACTTGCCCCAGACCAGGGCGGCGACTCGGGCACCCACAGGCCGAACAAGGAGCGAGCGTCCTGTCCCTCCTCCCTGCCCTCCTCACAGCACCTTCCACACACCATCCCGAACTCCGAGATCTGTGCAAGGCTGTGCTCGGCCCAGGTGAGGCACGCTGCCAAAGCAAACCTCCGCCGTCCCCTGGGTGCCCTCGCCTCTCCAGGGTGCCCGGAAAGGCTTATCTGGCCACTCTCGCCCCTCCCTCACCTCCTGAGTGGGAGCGGACAAGGTCCCCTCGGGGTCTCTTGCTGCAGGAGGGACAGGGCTGGCCACGTGGGGTCTGCGTTCTGGACAAAGCCGTGGGAGGAATTGGGGGCATGCTCTGGGCAGGGGATGGGCATGAGGGTGGGGCCAGGGGACAGCAGCGAGGGGGGCCGATGGAGGCACTCAACTCACTCCCCACCCAGGCCAGCATCCTGCCTTCGTTTTTTTCTGGATTTGATGTGTTCCTCCTCCAACGAACAGACTCCATACTCACTGCGGCAGGTTGGAATGAGAAAAGTGGAGGGAGAGAGCATCCCACGTTCCTTCTACACAAAGGAAACCACTACTAGTCATTTGTGGTATTTCTTTCTGGTCTTTTTAGAAAAGGTAGTTAAGACGATCAGTTTTTATTTTTTTAAATATATTTCTATTGATTTCAGAGATGAAATGAGGGAGGGAGAGAGGAGGAGAGAGAGAGAGAGAGAGAGAGAGAGAGAGAGAATCATTGATTGGCTGCCTCCTGCACACCCCATACTAGGGATCAGTTTTTATTTTTTTAAATATATTTCTATTGATTTCAAAGATGAAATGAGGGAGGGAGAGAGGAGGAGAGAGGAGAGAGAGAGAGAATCATTGATTGGCTGCCTCCTGCACACCCCATACTAGGGATCAGTTTTTATTTTTTTAAATATATTTCTATTGATTTCAAAGATGAAATGAGGGAGGGAGAGAGGAGGAGAGAGAGAGAGAGAGAGAGAATCATTGATTGGCTGCCTCCTGCATACCCCATACTAGGGATCAGCATGTCCTCAGGTGAGGATTACAAATAATAATATGCCCTGACTGGGCATCGAATTGAAGCTCAACCACTGAGTCACGCCAGCCAGGCAAGACCAACTGTTTTTATTTTTATTATAATATTATTATTTCTTTAAATATATTTTATTGATTTTTTACAGAGAGGAAGGGAGAGAAATAGAGTTAGAAACATCGATGAGCAAGAGTCATCGATCAGCTGCCTCTTTCTTGCACACCCCCTACTGGGGATGTGCCCTCAACCAAGGTACATGCCCTTGACCGGAATCGAACCCAGGACCCTTCAGTCCGCAGGCCGATGCTCTATCCACTGAGCCACGCCGGCCAGGCAAGACCAACCGTTTTTAGAAAGAGGTGACACAGTGGCCTGTGCCTGGGCTGGCTGACCGTCAGCTTTCTGGGGTGTGATGGCTGCTGCCCCTCCTCCCAGGACCTTTCCCAGCCACACTGAGAGTCCCAAGGCCGGACTACCAGCCTCTCCCGAAACAGAGATGCCCTGACCACTCCCCCCTCTGCCTGCTCTTTCTCTGCTCTCAGCCCCCCTGGTCGGCATGCCCACCTGTCAGGGATGTCCGGGCGACTTTACCTCCCAAAATCTCCACGGGCTCTGATGACCTCGTGACGAATGGTAAATGGTGAGGGCTCCTCCCAGGCACATCACTTGTCAGCGGAGAAGCCTGAACTTGAGCCCGCACCGCCCATCTCCTGGGTTTCCTATGGAGAGTCCAACCCATGATGCCGTATGTCACATGGACCCCGCCAAACCTCCTTCCAGATTTTCAGCTCCCTTCAAACTCCTGTCCTTGTGGAAGCTGGGTGGGGAAAGGGTCCGTCCCTCAATCATTATCACCATTATCGTAAGCAGTATTTTGCAAAGCGTGTATCTCTGTGGGCGGGCATCGACATCAGAGCTGAGAGGGACGGATGAGGCACCGAGGCCCAGAGAAGTAGCCTGCCAGGGGTCACACACCTGGAACAGTCCCGGGACTCCCCACTCCCAGCCTGAGGCTCCTCTCCCTGCTCCTCACCAGCGGGAAGTCCAAATTCCTCCCAACATCACATGTCCTATTTAAATGGGAATAAATGGATTTATTAATGAATGAATTCCGAGCAAGATGCCCAGGGTGTTTCTGTCTGTCTGATACCAGTTGACCATCTGCCCGAAGGGTGTCCAAGGCCTGGATGGTGCGTGACTTGGGCGAGCTGTTCACCTTCCCGCAGCCCCAAGGGGCCGGGCAGCTTGCTGCTGCCTGGCGATGGCGTGCGTCTCCCTGCTGTCACCTCCACTGGGCTCAGAGGGCTTTCTGTTCAGCTCTTCCCCAGACCCTCTCTCTGCTCTCCACATGCATTGAGTCCCCGACCTGAATCTGAGGGTCACGTGGCCCCACCTCTCAGCCTTTAGGCCCGGGCCACTGAGTGGCTGAGTGGCTGTGGGGTTGAGCATTGCCCATTCAGTTCCCGATCAGGAGGTCAGGAGGTCAGGAGGTCAGGACGAAGATCTGGGCTTCGTGTTCGATCCCTGGTTGAGACACATATGAAAGGCAACTGATCAAAGTTTCTCCCTCTCTCTCTCTCTCTCTCTCTCTCTCTCTCTCTCTCTCTTCCTCTCTCTCCTCCCTCTCAGCATGTCCTCAGGTGAGGATTACAAATAATAATAGGCCTAACGGGTTTAGCTCAGTGGATAGAAGTGGATAGAGCATCAGCCCACAGACTAAAGGGTCCTGGGTTCTATTTTGGTCAAGGGCGCATACATTTTTAAAAATATATTTTTTATTGGTTTTTTACAGGGAGGAATGGAGAGAGATAGTTAGAAATATCGATCAGATGCCTCCTGCACACACACACACACACACACACACACACACACACACCCGCCCCGGAATGTGCTCACAGCCAAGGTACATGCCCTTGACTGGAATTGAACCTGGGACCCGTGAGTCCGCAGGGTGATGCTCTATCCACTGAGCCAAACTGCTTTCGGCAGGGGCACATACACTGATTGCAGACTCATTCCTGGTCGGGGCATGTGAGGGAGGCGACTAATTGATGTTTCTCTCTCTTCCCCTCCGTTCCACTCTTTCTAAATATCAACAGAAAAAGATCCTTGGATGAGGATGAACAATAACAAAAATAAATAAAGAATAAAATAAATAAAATGTGGTCAGGAGTCTAGAGAGGGCTAGCCTCCTGACCACCACCCACGTCTCCCCCCCCTTCCCCCCCCCCCGCCCCCCCCCGCAGGAGCCCGCTCTGCCCGGCAGCACCATGACGGAAGTGGGCTGGTGGAAGCTGACCTTCCTCCGGAAGAAGAAGTCCGCCCCCAAGGTGCTGTACGAGATCCCGGACACCTGTGCCCAGACGGAGGGCAGCGCGGAGCCCCCGGGGCCGGCGGGCGGGGCGGCCGGCAGTGACTTTAACAGCCGCCTGGAGAAGATCGTGGACAAGAACACGAAGGGGAAGCACGTCAAGGTCTCCAATTCCGGCCGCTTCAAGGAGAAGAAGAAAGTGCGAGCCAGCCTGGCGGAGAACCCCAACCTCTTCGATGACAGGGAGGGCGAGGGACAGTGAAGGGGGCCGAGGCGGGTGCCGGCATCTCCCTGCCTGCCGGCTCCCTGCCGTCAGCTGGATCTGAGCAGGGAGCTGGCCACAGCCGAAGCCCTGGGGGCGGCGCATGCCTGCTGGCAGGAGATGTCTCCTTTTAGGTTCGTATTTATGTGCCCTGGCTTTCCGGGGCGTCTGGAAGATACCGGGGTCCTCCCACCGCCCCCCACCACATAGAAAGGCACTCGGGTTCAGGGGTGACAAGTGCCACCCAGGGCACGGGGTCAAGGGTGAGTTTGACTTGCTGCTCCCTCTAACGGTCTCTACCCGTGCCGGTTCCCTGCACCAGCCCTGAGAGTGCCTTTTCCAGACGACACGTGATGGGGGGTCGTTTCCAGGAGCCAGAGGCGGGCTGACCTGGAGCTCACCTCCTAACACAAGTGATAAACTTCTGGGGGCCTTGTTCCCAGATGTGCAAAGGGAGGGGGACCCTGGCACTCCCTGGAGGTGCTGCAGAAGGCCCGGTTAGGGGCCCCCAGGTCCAAGTTAGTGGTGGGGAAGCTCTGGTAGGACCTAACAGCAGCCAGCTCTTCCCACCGGTATTTAAGATGGACCGGCCCAGAGATGAGTCCTGGAGCCTTGGATTTTGTTTAATAACCGTAGGTTTCTCTCTTTGTAATAAACAACGCTGCCAAAGCTGAGAATCTATCTGCTCGCCTTCCATCGCTGAGAGGGCTGTGCTGTAGGCCTTTGTTTCCCTTCACGTGAGTGGAACCCGGTGCTCAGATGGTTCCTCTCACGCTTCACACGGTCCCAGGTGTCAGATGTAGGGACTGGGACACCAGTTTCACCCTCAAGCCACCCTTAGCACTGGGGGGGGGGGGGGGGGGGAGGATACAGGAAGGAGCTTGTGGCACTCCCGTGGTCAGTCCCTCTGGTCCACAGAGGCCAGCGGGGGCTGCAAGAGAAGGAGGCAGACCCCTGTGGTCTGACCCAAAGTTGCAGTGGTTTGGTTTGGGGTCAAGACTCAAATTCGGGTCCCACCCCTTAGCAGCTGTGTGGTGTGGGGGACATTAAAAAAAACCACACGCACAGAAACAACTTCCTCTGAAGCCTGATGGGTAGCTCAGTTGATTAGAGCATCGTCCCAATACCAGTCATCGTTCCATCCCAGTCAGGGCACATAGAGTGGATGCATAAGTAAGTGGAACAACAAATCAATGTTTCTCTCTAAAAATCAACCAATAAAAAAAAATTTTTTTAAACCTACCTCCTCTGAGCCTGGTTTCTTTTCTATACAAGGCCTGTAAGGATTCCTATTTCACAGGGAGTGGTCGGTAACTAGTGGCCCGTTAGTAGTCCTGTAGAAGGTTCCCCATTAACTGGTCCCCTCCCGGCCTTTTCCCTTATTAAGGAACTCGCCACGGCCCAGAGCTTCCGTTTAAGGAAGAGGAGAGAGCGTGCTCTTGAGGCTGTTAGATCAGGATCTTTCTCAAGCCGCAGGAGCTGGGAACTGGAAAAAATTGGCCATATCTCCAGAGCTCGCGGTGGGAACATGGAGAGAGAGAGACCAAGGTGGCGACTCAACAATGTGGTCCAGCAGCTTCCAGGCCAGCTCCTTGCAGGCTGCGGGCCACCCCACCCCACCCCACCACGGAGCGCTGCTCAGGAAATGTATCACCAAAACAAACAGACCAGACAAGGGGGCCTTTGTTGTGCGGCCTCCCCCAGGGCATGGGGAGCTGAGGATGAGTGAGGGAGATCAGGAGTTTGGGGAGGACTGGAGGACTCTTCCCCATCCCTCCTCATGGCAGAACTTTCTAAGGCCCCCATAACTCGGTCCATAAAGCCTCCCATGGGGAAGCAGACTTTTCGCCATCCTTCCCATTGTTAATGCCTGACGTTTACAGGTTTAAAAAGGGCCAGGCCCACACTGGCTGGGTGGCTAAGTTGATTGGACTGTTGTCTTGTACATCAAAAAGGTTTCGAGTTTGATTCCTAATCCAGGGCATGTAGCCCAGTTGTGGGTCTGATCCCCAGCCGTTGTCAGGGCGCGTATGGGAGGTGACCAGTGGATATGTCTCATCCATAGATGTTTCTCTCTCTCTCCTCTCTGCCCTCCTTCTACCCTGTCTGGAAATCAATGGAAAAAATCCTTGGGTGAGGATCAAAAAAACAAAGAAACATCCTTGGATGAGGATTCGAATGGGACAGGCTCTGTGGCAAGTACTCCCCGAGGTTCCTCATTGAATCCTCTGGTCCCCCATGGAGACAGGGCCTGCTGCTAACTACCCCTTTTCCAGGTGAGGTGCTGGGCTTAGTCACTCACCGGAGATCATGCCCTCTCAGAGGTGAGGCTGGGCTGAAGCCAGAGCTGGGCTGCGCATGTGACCTCAGAAACACACAGCCCCTTCCCTTCTTGATTTGCATCTGCTTAGGGGGTGGGAAGCTCCGGACAAAAAAAGGAACCGGTCCTCTTCTGCTGCAGGAGGGTGGGGTGAGAGAGCAAGGCCTGGCCTCGGGATCCTGGGAGGTGAGCAGCATTTGAGGGTGCTGCAGACTCTGGGACCAACGGGGGAAAGCCAATCAGCGATGAGGCTGAGTGTACCGCGAGACCCCAGACTGTAGGGACCTCCCACTCCAGCCCATCCTGAGGCGAGGGTAGGGGGATGAAGCTGGGCCCTGGGCCCCGTGCATATGACCATGCTCCACGGGCCCAAATGTGACTGCAGGAATCTTCCCGGAAACTCCATCCGTACCCCTAACCTGGGTATTAGTGGACGGGGGTGAGGAGGTGGGTGGTTACCAATGGCCAAAGGGATATCTGGTGCCCAGGGAGCCAGAGCCCAGCAGCTGAAGGTTTTACCAGGCCAGAGGAGGAGGAACCGAAAGTGCAGATATGTGCAGGAGCCGGGAGAGGCTACGGGTCATCGACCACAGTTTCACTGGGACTCAACCCAAGGGGGGAGGGGGCGGCAGGCGGGGCAGGCTAGGATTGGCCTGTGCGGCGCGAAGGGGCCAACCGTGGGCAGTGGCGCCCCCTGCTGGATGCCCCACCTCCCGGGAGAGGAAAATGGAGGTGGGTGGAGAGTTGTTTAATCCCCCAACTCCCTTTCTTCCCAGGGTGGGGGGCAAGACCAGACCAGACCGACATTAGCATCACGCACTGATGAGCATCTGATGGGTTTTTATTACAGATCTGGCACAGTGATTGCCAGACACAGAACAGAACTGCTGAGACCAGGCTCAAAGCCGGGGAGACGGATCCAGAAACACAAACAGGACAAGGAAGGGTCCCCAGCACCCTCTCCTGTAGGTTCCAGAAAGGTCAGCATCGTGCTTTCCTGCGCTCGGGCTTGAGGGGGATCAACAAGGAGAGAGAGGTCCTCGGGGGAGCCGGTCACTCCCAGACGCTGAAGCACATGCCCATACAGCGAGTGAAGCCGTGTACAGAGTGGCAGGTTCAATGCCACTGTGCACAAAACAGTCCCTCCCTCATCCTGGCTGAGTCAGAGCAAACATTTACCCAGCCTGGCTCCTCTCCAGGCCCGAGGGCCACTCAGCCAGGCTGACCCTGTCACCAGACTGTGCTCCAGGAAAGCACCTACAGTCAGCACAGGCCTCAGCGAGGGTTACGGGAGACAGGCAGAGGGTCAGAGGCCGGGGCCAGGGCACTGGCACAGGGGTGGGTGGGTCCTGTTAAACGCGGGAGGGAATTCCGGGGGTCTGGGGTGGGCTTCCGAGTGATGCCAATGCTGCCAGCCGTCCTGAGGGGCTCAGACCTTGGCTTCACGAAGTCCCTGGGAGCCTTTAAATTTCCCAGTGCCCTCAGACCCGTTAAGTCATCTCTGAGGGGGGGACCTGGGCATCAACAGGATCCCCCCCACTCTGCCCCTTGGGAATGCCAATGTGGATGAAAAGCAGCGATGTGGAGAGGTGAGGAGCTGGGAAGGGGATGTGTGAGTATCTCTATAATTTCATACCTGGGAAGTAAAATAAGTAAATACCGTTTATAAGCCAACGTGGAAAATAAAGCTTGATTAAAATCTTCCTGGCCCGTAGGTACCAGCACACAAAAACTGGTTTGGCTCAATGGATAGAGTGTCGGCTTGGGGACTGAAAGGTCCCGGGTTCGATTCCGGTCAAGGGCATGTACCTTGGTTACTGGCATATCCCCAGTAGGGGGTGTGCAGGAGACAGCTGGTCGATGCTTCTCTCATCGACGTCCCTAGCTCTCTATCTCTCTCCCTTCCTCTCTGTGAAATATCAATAAAATATATTTAAACAAAAAAAAAAAACTCCTGACCGGGACTGAATACTTCCCATAAGAGAATGCTCACTGCCTGGTGCTCCTTACCACCTTCCCCTTGAAACCGCTCCCCATATTGAAGAGAAATCTATTTCTGTGTAATATCCCCCGTGGGTCCTTTGGAGCTACAGAGAATAAATTCAATCTTCTCCCACAACGCTGTGCTTCGATAATGGAAGGCAGCTAGCAGCAGGGTAAATGCTATAAGAATATGTTAATAAACGAGTTGGTTAGGGTTCTTTTATTTGCAATCAACAGCAAACAGCAAGTTTACATTAAAAAAAAAAACCTTTTTAGAGACGGTGGGTGTGAGGCCGGAGGAGGAACTGCAGGGCTCAGGAGTGGGAAGGGGGCGCCAGGCCACTGGGGGAATTTAAGAGCAGCAGCCAGAGGCCTGGCTTCTTGGCTGCCGCTCACAGTGCGGCCTCGGGGAGCATGCTCTGGGTCTCTCCGTGCCCAGTTTCCAGTAGCTGACAAGAAAAACCGACTATCGGGACTGGCTCAGGTGCTTATGCTGGGACCGATCAGCTTTGGCCAGTATGACTGTCACAGTGGTCAAACACAGGGCTGCTGGGGCCGGCTCTGTGTCACTGGGAAAGGGAATTCCAGCAGCTGCTTCCTCCAGAGGGAGCCATTCCAGTAAACCAGTGTCAAAACCGAGAAAATGACGATGAGATGATTGTCCGTGTGTGACTCTCTGTGCCGCCATGACACTCCGCTAGAGAGCTTCTGGGAGCCAGCCAAGTGGAGCACTCAGGTGGCTCTGGAGACCCCGACATACAGGGAGCGGGGCGGGAAACCGCGGCCCTTAGAAGGGCCTGACCCCAACCCCACAGCCTCCCTCAGCGCCGGCCCTCGCTCCCGGGCGCCCAGCCTGGGGTCAGGGAGCGAGCCTCTCGTAGAGCCAGCCTTCCGCCCCTTGGTGCGTCATGGGCCCCAACGGGGTGTCCCCCGTCTGCAGGCTCCGCCGGAAGACGATGCGGTCGTGCAGGCGGTTGGTCTGGCCTTGCCAGAATTCCATCACCTGTGGGTACAGCACGTAGCCACCCCTGCGAAGGGAAGCAGAGGTCTCGGGCTGTGTATTTTCCCAACCACGTCACTCCCCGGACACCCTCGGGCCGCCTGAAGGAAGCCGCTGTATCACGGGTAGGAGTTACAGTAAACACGAGGGTCCTGGTGTCCCTTTCCACACGACCAGGAGGCATCACTCACCAGTATTTTGGCTTCGGCACCTCTTGCTCCTGGTACAGCTTCTCCAATTCCTCGTTTTTCTTTCTCAGATACTGTTCAGGGGAAGGAGACAGAAGGGCCAGACCGGGTCAAGGATTCATTGAATAACCACTCACTGAGCATGTGCTGGGGACACAGGCGAGAAGGCACAGGTGGCCTCTGTCCCCTGGGACACAGCCCAGCGGGAGGGTCCCCCACACACAGGAGGCCATCGGCCCATTCCCCCAGGAAGACACCCTTTTCCCTGGCTGGGGAGAGGGCCCCGCACCCCTGGGAGACGGCCTCGGGATGAGCCCAGCACCGCCCCCGGAGGACGAAGAGGAAGCCCACTCACCTCCCGGTCAGGGACGACGGAGCTCTGCTGACTGACCACGGCCCCGATCTGGCTGCTCTTGGGGCGGGAGTGGAAGTAGCTGGTGGCCTCCTCCTCCGGCAGCTTCTTCACAGGGCCCTCCACACGCACCTGCTCAGGGACGGCCTTGGCTACCTGGGTCCAACGCCATCGCCCTCCCCAGGCCACAGGCCCATCCCCCTCGGTCTTCTCTATCCGATGCCTCGCCACTCCTGGCTCCCGCCAGCCCGGCTAACTGTCTGAGAGCTATCTGAGAGGAAGGACGTTTGCCCGGCCTGGCACCTCCACTGGGCTCATATATAAACTCGGGCCCCTCCCAACGCAGCCCGCCCCCGGCTGTCCTGGGCACGCTCACTCACCTGGCGGTTCAGGGGCTCCCAGTAGAAGACGAGGGAGGCAAAGGGATTAGAGTCCTGGAGAGGAAAGAGAACCCAGACCGCCGTCAGGACAGCGGGGAGGACGCCTCTGGCCGGCAGGGGGAGGCAGAAGTCTGCAGCCTGCAGGCCCCCGGGAGGTGCACTCGGTGTAATATCTCATTTAAACCCTCAAAGACAGGCTCAGAGAGGTTAAGTAAGGAGCCCGAGCTCACACAGCAAGTGGCAGAGCTGCGTGGAAACCTACGCCAGCTGGACTCCGAAGTGCCGCTTGCCATTTCTCAAACCCACAGATTTTGCAAGTTCTCAGAAATGTATGCTTGGCTGCAGGGACTCGGGGCGGATGGCTCATTTGGAATTACGAACTGTATGCATATGAAGTGCCAGCTCTGGATTCGACACCAGAAGAGGTCACGGGGTGTAACAGAGTTACAACAGATGCAGCCGCTGCCCCCACAAAGCTTACCACTTCACAGAGGACACAGACATTAATCGCATAATCATATGCATGCACAGTTAGAAACTGAAAAAAATGGCAGGGAAGTTGCTAGTTATAATGACAGCAAACGGCATGAGCGGCTGACTCAGTGTAGGAGTGGAGGCTTTTTGGAAGAGGCTGCCATTGGGGCTGAGCCTGAAGGGACGGGGTGGCTTAGGTGGACAGAGGACAGAGGCAGGGGTGGTGGGAGAGTATTTGCGCATGTGCAGCAAGAAAGACCAGGGCGAAGGCCCCAGGCAGGGTGGGCCTTGAGCACAGACAGCGAGCGGGTTGGGGGGGGGTGACTGATGAGGAAAGGGCTGTGCCCTCTGCAGCGCGAGGAGGATTTACCGTGACCCCTCACCAGCTCTTTTCCTTTCCGGCTCTCAAAGTTAGTGAAGAAGCGGAAGCCATCCTTGCCATAGCCCTTCAGCAGCACCATGCGGGCAGAGGGCTTCCCATCTCTGGGACAGAGAGCAGAGCGCCGTGGTCAGAGCCCACTCCCATGTTCCCTTAGGATGTCTGAGCATCCCTACCGCTGGGTCCCCTTATTCTGCCCTGTCCGGGCCGCAGGCCACCACCCATCCCCACTCGGCCCTGGGGATTTAGCCTGAAAACACCCCCCGCTCCCCCCAGTATGACAGATGCCTTCCCCCTGCTGCTGGAGGCGTCCTCCCCCGTCCTGACGGCGGTCTGTGGCTTCTTTCATCTCCAGGACTGTGAGGGACTAAGCCGCGTCCCCCTAAAAGCCTATGCTGATGGCCTTGCCCCCAATGTGGGTATTTGGAGACAGGGACTTCCGGGAGGGGAGTAAGGGTCAATAAGGTCATAGGGTGGGGCTCTGATCCAAAAGGACGGTGTCCTTAGAAGAGGAACAAGCACCAATGATCTCACTCGCTCTCCCTGCGTGCACCAAGGAAAGGCGGTGTGAGGACACCGCAAAAAGGCGGCCACCTGCAAGCCATGAGGAGAGGCTTTCCTAACCAGCTAACAGAACCTTAATCTTGGACTTCTGGTTTCCAGCACTGTGAGAAATACATTTCTGTTGTCTGTGTATTTTCTTATGGCAGCCCTAGCAAAGCAGCAAGGCTCCAAGGGCAGCAACCAACGAGAATGCAACCAGCCCTAGCTGGTTTGGCTCAGTGGATAGAGCGTGGGCTTTCAGACTGAAGGGTCCCCGTTTCGATTCCTGTCAAGGGCACATGCCCGGGTTGTGGGCTCGATCCCCAGTAGTGGGCATGCAGGAGGCAGCCAATCAATGATTCTCTCTAATCATTGATGTTTCTATCTCTTTCTCCCTCTCCCTTCCTCTCTGAAATCAATAAAGAAATATATTAAAAAAGAAAAAAATGCAACCGGCTGGTGCTTAGGGATTACAGAAGGCGTGGCTATTATCAGACCCTCTGCTCAGGGTTTTGGGGGACACGCAGGGCACACAGCACAAGAGCCCTGCCTTCAAGGCCTTACATTTGAGTGACGGGGGACAGGAAGAGTTGGATTGGATGAGAGGCTAATATGAGAGATGGCTCAGTGGTTGACTACCAAGTGAGTGATACAGCTAAGCATTGTCTACAAAGAGATCCATGAAGAGGTCCCAGGAGACACAGCTCTTAAAGGGCAGCTGGGAATAGGGTAGGTGGGGAGATAAGGGAGGCAAGGGTATATGGGGGCATTGCATCAAGGGCAGAGATGAATGAGGCACTGCGTTTCATCCCTGAGATGTAACTGGGTGAAGTGTGATCTTTGGTTTACAGGTAAGGATGCTGAGGCGCAGAGAGGGCAAGTAACTTGCCTGAGGCCACACAGCATTTCAATAAAAGTGCTAGAACCATAAAGTTGTCATCCATTACACTGAGAGCTCCCTTGGGATCCTGCTTCCTCTGTGCCCGCCCACCGAAGGGCCCACGGCTATGCCCACCTGGTGCAGGTGGCCAGACACATGGCATTGGCCTCCCCTATGTCAGGACACTGAACGGCCTCCTCGAACCAGGCAGCAAACTGCTTCAGGGGATCCAGAGAGATCAGCTGAGCCTCCTCAAATGCCTGGAGAGGAGGGAGAGTTTTATTTCACTGAATGAACACACCTATTGCTTCATGTGTACGCGGAGCTATTCTAGGCACTTTTCAAATATTAACTTATTTAATCCTCGTGACAAAAAATAGTGCCCAGGAAGTAGGTTCTGTTAGCCCCCTATTACAGGTGGGGACACAGGCACAAGGAAGGAGACTGATGGCTGATGAATCGGCTTCATGTCATGAAGTGTCAAACCTATCATTTGAAAAGCCTTAAAAACAAAAACAAAAAAAACACAGATTCTGGACTCTGCCCTTGTAAATCCTCATTCCCAAGGTCTAAGGGTCAGTGGAAAACCGCATGTCTAACAACCGTTCTCTGGGCTCCTCTCCGGAGGAGGACGAAGGAAAGGACGTTTTCCCCAGGGGTAAGCGAGGGAACCAAGGCAGCAAGGAGCGTTCCCCCTCCTCCCCGGGAGGTAGTCAGTCCGCCTCCCCGAGTTCTGCTTACCCAGCACCGGGAGGCTGTGTCCCTGTTCTAACCATTTTACAAACATCTGAGTCCGCCACATTCCTGCGAGGTGGTGCTGTCACCTCACAGGGGCCCGGAGAGGTGCAGGGAACCGCCCCAGGGGTGCACCTCGTGAGTGAATGAATGAATGAATGAATGGCGGGATTCCGGGCCTGGCAGGCTCCAGCCGTGCCTCCCCCCTCCCCCCCCCTCAGCTGCCTCCGGTCCCCACCTTCGTCCCGGCTCCCCCAGAACCTATCCCCGACCCCCAACGGTTGTCTTTGAACCCTCTCCTCTCAGGGAGATGGCCTCAAGCCCCTGCGTCCCACGGGGTGGCCCCAGAAACCCCGTGGGGTTCCTCCCATGTCTCCCCCGCCCCCTCCCGGATGATCGGAGACCCCTCGCTCCCCGCCCCTGCGGAGACCCCTGCGGAGACCCCGCCCGGCGACGACACCTCGCGGTCCCCGCGGTAGCTCTTGCGCATCGGGCCCAGGTCCATGGCGATAGCGCGGCGGCACAGCTGACGCAGGTGGCGGGGCCACTCGGCCAGCCGCCTGAACGCCACGTCGACGCACGCGACGGGGCCGTTGGCCACGTGACCCAGCGTCGCCCGGCGGCGCCGGGTTCCGGCGCGTTCGGAACCGGTTCCTCAGTCCCGAGTCTACCCCGCGGGAAGAGGGTGTGTCAGTCGCCCAGCCCCGACACCCTCGGTCCTCGGAGCCAATGGGAGCCCAGCGTCGGGGGAGGGAGACCGGTGCCGGGACTCCATTGGTCGGAGTCTTCCGGAGCGCAGCCAATGACAGCGAGAACAGAGGAAGCCAGCGGCCAATGGGCGGCGCCTCTGGGGGCGGGAGCAGGGAGACGAGGAAATTCTGTCCCCCGCTGCTAACGCGCACGTGGAGGTTTGTTCGAGATCCCGGGGTTGCAGCCTCCCGGGCCAGGGCCGGGGGCGAAGGCTGCGCCGCTGGGGGCGTGAGGGGGAGGGTCCGTGTTCAGTGGCTGGCTCCGGGTTGGTGCCTGAGAGGCTCCGGGTAGGTGCCTGAGGGCGGGCCTAGTGCAGGAAGTGTCCCTGCGGGGCAGGCTGGTGGCCTGGGGACGGGACAAATGGAAATGGAATCAGGCGGCCAGACCCTAAGGCAAGGTGATGGGGAGACAGAGAAAGAGGACATCTGGTTTGGGGAAGAAGTCAAGGCTTGAGAGTGGGAGAGGCTGAAGTGACTTGTGATTCCTCCAAATAGATGCTATGCAGTGTGTGTGTGTATGTGTGTGTGTGTGTGTGTGTGTGTGTGTGTGTGTTTGGTGGGGAGAAGCGGGGAGAAGGAAGACAGCTGAATGGAAAAGGGGAAGAGGGAAATTTGGGATCAAGCTGTCCCAGAGCAGTGCCATCTTCCTCTTCCAGCTCTGAACCCCCTCTCTCCAGCCTCATTCCTTTCACCCCAGGCCAGAGCATGCTGTTTTCTTTACTCATGGCTTCCCCTCCCATAATGCCAGGTAGATGGAAAGGTTACCTCTGTCCCACCTCTCCCAGGCCGCCCCCATCTCTGCTGAGCTTCCCCTTTTTCACATTATGGCCTTCCTAGAGAGTTGGAGTTTGGTGCCTAAGTCAATGCCAGCCGTAGCTGAGGGCACAGGAGAGGAGGTGGCTGTGCCAAGCCATTTCCAGGATGTGGATGCAGGGCTGAGAGATGGGAAGCCTGCCAGTGCCTACCCATTCCAGCTGTGGCCTGGCTGGGGCAGCCGTGGGTCCAGGCCTCTCTCTAGTCCTCGTGTCCACCATCATCAGGAAGGGGAGCTGCGAGAACCATCTAGGCAGGCACCCCGGGACTGTCAGGTAAGGGATCTTCCCGCCCTGCCCAGGTGTCTGCATGACAGCTAAGCTTCATAAAGCCCTGCTTTACATAACCTGCCCTCCTTTGTCATGTGCACACAGCTTGAGCCAAATAGAACCTGGAAGACAAATTTGCTGCAAAGAAATAACACAGGTTTCAAGGCTTAATAATATTTATCTGTAGATTCTCCACTGGTTACAATTTTTTTGCTGCATTGTTTTCCTCCATCAAGATGATTGAGAGAGAGTTGACCGGACTTCCTTTCTTTAAAAAAAATTTTTTTTAAAATTTATTTCAGAGAGGAAGGGATAGAGCTATAAAGAGATAGAAACATCAATGATGAGAGAAAACCATTGATTGGCTGCATGCCCCCCACTGGGGGGGATCGAGCCCACAACCTGGGCATGTGCCCTTGGCCGGGATTGAACTTGGGACCCTTTAGTCTGCAGGCCGCGGCTCTATCCACTGAGCCAAACTGGCTAGGGTTGGACTTCCTTTCTTATTGAAGTTGTCTTTCCACGTATGAATACTGCTGTCTTCCCCCTCCTCCCACACACCTGCATTTAAACCTGTATAAGCAGTAATTAGTGCCCTTCAACTCAGTCGGTTTTGTTGATGGGTCCACACTTTAGCACTCCTGGAATGTGCCACCCTGGACCCAGGATTCTAGGGCACCAAGACGAGGACAATTTGAAGGGTTTTAATGAAACCATTACAGAACAGTTGACTCGAACAAGGCAAAGGATTAGGGTCATTGACCCCTTCCCAACTGAAAATTCACGTATAATTTTTGACTCCCCCAAAATTTAGCTACCAGAAGCCTTGCTGATAACATAAGCAGTTGACTACCACATGTATTATATGCTGTATTCTTAGAAAAAAGTAAGCTAGAGAAAGAAAAATTTATTGAGAGAATCATAAATAAGGAGGAGAAAATACATTAACATTATTGGGGGGGAAAAATCTATGTGTACTGGTGAGTGGATCTATGCCGTTCAAAACCAAGGGCCAACTGAACAGATATTTATTCATTCAGTTGACATTTATTAAAGACTTCTGTCGGGCCAGGTACTTGTAGTCTGTAGGGGGAAGCAGGTCTGTGAGCTGAGGAGTTACAGGTGCTTCTGTGAGGAGATGGGGAGCACACAGGAGGAAGTGGCCCTGGGTTTCCAGCCGCCAGGAATCTTCCGGAAAGGGAGCAGACGTTGCATTTGTCTTAACGAGTTTGTGTTTGCCAGATGGACAGTGGAACACGTGTGCCAGGAAGAGGGAAGGGTGTGGGTAAAGGCCGGGTGCCTGGGGGATCCTGCTGGAACCGGTGGTGAGAACACAGCCGGGCACTTGGGCCAGGGCGCGGCCTGCCAGCTGAAGATCAGGCAGATGGCGCGGGTTCGGCGTTTAGACAACAGTTCTTTTTTTCTCCCTGGCTGCTGTCGAGCCACGGCGTCTAATCCCCGTGTTTTGAAGACCAGATGAGAAAGAGTGGGTTCCAGCAGCCTCTCCCGTTCTCGGCGCGATGGGTGAGGAAGCTTGCAGCTGGCTGCCTTTTAAGATTCCCCCCGTCGTCTTGAAATAATACGTGGGCTTGCGTTGTGCTTTTCTGCTTCGTGGGGTTTGGTGTCGGGATCACTGAGCAGCTCCCGGGGTGCAGACAGGCGAGGGGGACGCACCCGCGGCTGAGCCTCCACTGCTGTGCCCTCCGCAAGCGTTTGCCTGTGTGGGAGGACGGGATTCTTTATTGTTACTGCTTTCATTTATTTATTATTGTTACTGCTTTTTATTAAATACGTTGCCACTCTCCCCTCCCAGCTTTGTCCATGTATTATACTAATCTTTCCTCCAGCATCTCGAATAGAAAATGTATTGCAGTGTTTCATTGTACGGAGAGGCACCCTGGCTTCTCCATATGAAACCAACAGGCTGCAGGTGGGGTTGGGGACTAGGCTTTGCCTGTTTTCTTTCAATCCTTTTTTTTAAAAAAATGATTTTTATTGATTTCAGAGAGGAAGAGAGAGATGGAAACATCAATGATGAGCCCTAACCGGTTTTGCTCAGAGGGTAGAGCGTCAGCCTTCAGACTGAAGGGTCTGGGGTTTGATTTCGGTCACGGCCATGTACCTTGGTTGCGGGTTCCATCCCCAGTAGGGAGCTTGTAGAAGGCAGCTGATCGGTGTTTCTCTCTCATCAATGTTTCTAACTCTCCCTTCTCTGTAAAAAGTCAAATAAAGATATTCTTAAAAAATCAATGATGAGAGAGAATCATCGATTGACTGCTTCCTGCATGCCCCGAATTGGGGATCAAGCCCGCAACCTGGGCTTGTGCCCTTACCGGGAATCGAACTATGACCTCCTGACTCATATAGGTCGATGTTCCACCACTGAGCCACAGCAGCTGGCATTCTTTTGCATATGTGTTCTGAAATCACCTTTTCGTCTAAATGATTGGATTATACATTTCCATTATAGCTTAGTGGTTGTGTTTTGGGGCCTGGTGACCCCGCGGATGGTGGGCGAAGGAGGCCAGGACACGGCAGTGTTGTCTAAGTTGAAGCAGGACCTGTCGCCTGAGTATTTGGGTGGGCGGAGAGGAAGAGGAGGGAATCGGCTCACCAGGATGACTTTAGGTGACATGGGCGGTGCTGTTCATTGAAGCGGGGCATGTTGGAGGAGGCGGCTTGGGGGAGAGATGAAGTCCCTGCGGAGTGAGGGTTTATGGGACACCCACGTTTGGTCGGATTATATAATCAAGTCTGGCGTTTAGGAGAGAGGTCTGGGCTAATGAGACCAGACTGGGTGTCAGGAGCCACCGAAGTGGCACTTGAAACCATGGGGGAGGGGGAGACCGTCAGAGGGTCTGGGTGAGTGAAGGACAGTGGGGAGGGGGGGAGAGGCCCGGGAGGATGGAAATGATACAGCGCCCAGCTCTCCAGGGGGCTGGTGGCAGCCTGGAGGGGGTGTGCTGGGGCCTCTAAGCTCGGGAAGCCTTGGGCCCAGCCTCGGGTGAACTCGGGACACCCAGAGGAGTGGGTACTTGGTGCTCTGCCAGCAGATGCCGGAGTCCCACGTGTGGTTATCAGGGGACGCAGAGGAGAGACGCGGAGGGGACGGACTTACCTGAGTGTCTGCCTGCGGCTGTGTGGTTGACGCCTGATATGACTCTTCCTGTGCTCATGGGTCACTTTGCCAATACATCCCATGGTTTTCACTCCTGTTCCCCATCGGAAGCTCCTTCACGGGATGGACTATGTCACTTACTTTCTCTGCCTCCTTCTCAACATGCCAGCCAGGAAACGCTCATCTGTCGTGTATGCATAAACTGTTTTGTTAAGTCTCTGTAGCCAGTGCTAGGCATGGTGGGTAGGGCTTGGGTTGTTGTTTTGTGTGTGTGTGTGTGTGTGTGGTTTTGTTTTTGTTTTTTTGCACCTGGTGGGAGCCTGGCTAAGTGTCCTTGTTGGCTGGAGGCATGTTGAGCTTTCCCAGGCTGAGTGAGGTCTCAGGGCACCAGTCCCGTTGGTGCCACTGGCTGCGTTGTAATTAGCGTGTGATCCACAGGCAGGAGGCCTGAGAGCAGGTTCCCAGGCGTGACCTGGCGATTCTTAGTTTCCTGGAGAGATCCTGGTTGTTGGTATGTGACCCTCTTCTCCAGCCCCGATGCCCTGCTGTTCCCCACTCTGCTTTGCTTTCTTTTCACCCGCATCCTGCTCTTGGTTCCATCTTCCCTAGTTCACTTCCTGCTCTTCTCCCTGAGGACCTTTCCCTGGGGAACCCGGCTGCCGCCTGTCCTGAGGTCACTGTGGCTCCCTTAGCAGCTTTGTCCCAAAGGCCTTGGTCAGGTTCCAAGAGCCTCAGCCACATTCATGAGCCAGGAGCCCCTGGTGGGTCCGGGGACCTGAGATGCTGCAGGTGGCTCCCATCAGCATACTCCTGTAGGGCCTCCGTGGGCCCCCAAAAGGTGATTGAAGAAGTGGACTGGGTAGCTGGAAGGAAGCCTGAGTTCCATTTGCTGCTTTGATTTTTTTTTTTTTTTTTAAGGGTAATCTGCCTGGATTTGCCTTCAGTATGGGGGGAACTTCCCAGCCCTCTTTTATTTCCGGTTTATAATTCTAGGATCTGGAATCAAAGAGCTGCTGTGTTGAGCATCACTGAGCAGACAAGATGGGGGGGAGCCTTTGGTACAGATAACCCTGAGGATGGATTGTGGGCGGTATGGCCTCCACACTACCAAGCTGCCAGCCCCCAAGTCTCCATTTTCAGCCTGCCGATCAGGTGTCCTGGGGGTGGGGGGCTCCAGCATGGACAGCAGTCCTCCACCCCCTGCACCTCACAAGTAAATTAAGGATGGGCTGCAGCAGATGAGGGCGGACCGGCCACAGGTTTCTCCTTTCTGCCCTCTTGCCATTTCCTGGGCGAGGCAGCATACGTTCTCTTGTCTCCTTCCTACCTCGGGCATCCCATGGGAGGCAGATGGCTGGGAATAACTTGTGAACCTGCCTCCAGGAGAAGGGAAATCCCGAGTGTCGGCACTCGGTTCTGCCCTCTGGGCCTGGCACCCTCATTTCCAAAGGATGCCCAGGCGTCGGGTCAGTTTCTGCTCTTGAAGCAGGTGACTTGCAGTCAGCTCTCAGGAAAGGATCACTCTTTGTGCCTGATCCCAAGGGCGATGGGGAACGTGGGAGAAGGCGGCATTTGTTAATATTCCCCTTCTCTCCACCAATCCTAACTCAGAACTCAGCAGGGCATTTTTTATTTTTATTTTTCCAGTCCCACAATCCACGTGAGAGGGAGAGAGAAATACAGCCCCGTCTCCCACCTGCCAGGGCTTCTCTGTCAGAGCTGGTCTGGTGTCACTCAAAGGGCCTAAGTGTGGGTAGGCCGGGCCTTCCTGCCTGATCAGGAAGAAGTGTTGGAGACAGAGAACCTGAGATCCATCTGAGATCAGCTCCCTGTGATTCTCCAGCTGATGTGAGTGAGGGTGGCTGGCGTTAAGGAAGAGCTGTTGGCTTGCAAATAAACGCAGGCCGCCGGTGACACAGGACTGAGTGAGGGAGTGGATTGCTCCAGAGGAGCCTGGGCGCTCCTGCAGGGGACAGCGGCCCTGGGTGTGCCATTCAAGGTGAGTAAAAAGGCACCGACGGCATAAGGAGAGCACTCGCTGTTCTTTATCTGCTCGAGAACAGCTCTCCCTTCAGCCAGCGGCTCTCAGGATCCTGCAGTGTGCTCCAGTCTCAGTCTCCGTAACATCACAGCCCCGGCCTCCTTAGCCTCTCTGCGCTTCCCCCTCAAGTGCCCGCCAAGATGTGAATCTGCAGCCCTCGGTCAGAACAGAATCAGCTCACAGCCCCCGCTGGTGCTGGGTGAGGCGTCGGAGAAAAGCAGGGTCTGTGGCCAGGGTCCTCGCTTGGCTAGAGACGGGCTCCAGGCCTGGCTGCCCCCCTGGGAAGGGATCCTGATCCTTCGGGAATCTCGTTTTCTCCAGGCCCGGTAGCTTGTGGAAATGACAGAGCCGGGCCCCTTTGGCTCTTCCCAGTGAGAGCAGGCCGGGCCTGGGCGGGGAGAGTGGAGTGGAGTGGAAGAAGCAGCTTGCTGGTAAGGGAGACATTGCTGTGACTTGAGTCTGAACAGTGTGCCTGCTTTGATCTGGGCAAAACTGGCTGTGGAAGAACAAAGCAGGAGCCCCTGTGCGAGGTCCTGTCCCCTCCGGGGGCTGGTGCCAAGGCCATGAGGTGTCTGTGGCCGCCACCCTTTTGAGGCCAGGAGAGGACGGTCCTGCCTCGGTCCCAGGAGGACCGGACATTCTGAGACCAGGGTTCCCTCCCCTCAGGCCTCTCTCTAAGCTCTATGAGGTCAAAGACAAAGGAAGCTGCACTGCCAAGTTGCATATTTTGCCTCAGGCAACTAAATTTATTAGCAAGGAAAATTTTTGTCAGCCCAATGCTGAACAAAGTACATCGTTAATAAAGGATAACAAATCTGTCAATCATAAAACATACCTCAAGCAGTTACAACTAAAAATAAAGTTGTATTTTGTTTATTAATTTAAAAGCCTCAAAAATAACAAGCAATATGTTTTTAAACATGTAGTAGACACAATTGTCTATTATACAATATACACTGTACAGAACTAGAGCTTGGGCTGGGAGGGGAGGTGAGATGAGGGAGAGTGGAAAGGTTCGGGGTGTGAAGTTTTTATCTGAATCCAGATTCAAATTAAAATGCTGTGTCATTTAGGAAAAAGAACTGCTAGTGAGAAAAAAACCCATATGCTCGTCACTGCCTCCCAAAACCCTAAACTGAAAGTAGGCCTGGGGGAGGTGAGTAACAAGAACGGGAGGAAGGGAGCAATTAAATAAAACTGTAAAGCACACACAATACACAGTGTTCATTATCTGAAAGAGAGTATAAGGCAACGTTCTCCATAGAAAAGGGGGGTCGGGGAGTCCGTGGTGGTTTTGTTTAAATAGAAAGTTGGAATGTGCTGGAGAAGAGTGGTGGGCAGGGCGTGTGGCGTGGAGGTGGGTGCCCGGGGGCCTGGGTGCAGGGCCGGGGCGCTGAGGTGGCCGGGCAGGGAGGTGATGGCACGATGATGCGACTCTCGCAGTGTGGGGGGGAGGGGACTCACTTTGCTCCTCGATGGAGTGAAATTCATGTTTTTCCTTTGGAAATAAAGGTTCCCACTCGTCCTGGCTTAGAACGTCTCGTTGGGCAGAGCTTGGGCTTCAGGAGAGGCGAGTGTGGGGCAGCAGAGCCCCTTCCGTGAGGAGGGAGGGGCCGAGGGCAGGCCCAGGCGGCCGGGCCTCCTTCCCACCGGGGGACCGCGTCTCGGGCTTCCCGCCTCCGCGGCCTTACAAGTTCTTCGTGACCAGGTGGGTCTTGTAATGTTTGGTGAGGTGATCACTCCTCATGAAGCGTTTCTGGCACTGGGCACACTCGAAGCGTTTGTCCCCTGGGAGGAGGAGATGGCCGTCACTCACAGACACTGTCCCGGCCCCCCAAGAGAGGCACACGTGACCTCAAGCGTGTGATGTCAAAAAAAATAGCGATTGTGCCCTAGCGGGTTTGGCTCAGTGGATAGAGTGTCGGCTCACAGACTGAAGGGTCCCGGGTTCAATTCTGGTCAAGGCATGTATATTTGTTGCAGGTTCCCTGGCCCTGGTTGGGGTGCATGCACGAGGCAACCTATCGATGTGTCTCTCACATCAGTTTTTCTGTCTCTCTCTCTCTCCCTTCCACTTTCTAAAAATTACTGGATAAAAATTTCCTCAGGTGAGGATTAACAATAGCAACAACAAAATAATAATAATAGTGATTGGACCCATAAATGAATGAAAATAGTGAAACTATTTCAGGACAATCATTAAGGAAATAATAGGAAAGGCAATATGGGGTAGCAATTAAGTGTGTGGACTTGGTAGTAACAGGTCAATGTAGTGCTGCTGCATCCTTAAAAATTTGAAACCATGACAGCTGTAATTGAAATAGATGGGCTAGCCCAGCTGGTGTGGCTCAGTGGTTGAGTGTCAACCCAGGAACCAAGAGGTCACTGGCTCAGTTCCTGGTTGGGGCACATGCCCAGGTTGTGGGCTTGATCCCCAGTAGGGGACATGCAGGAAACAGCCAATTGATGACGTTTCTCTCTCTCTGATGTTTCTATCTCTCTCCCTTCTGCTCTTTCTCAAATCAATAAAAAAAAAAAAAACATTTAAGAGAGAGAGAGAAATACAATAATAGAGGGACTAGCTCTAGCTGCATGGCTCAGTGGATAGAGCGTCGGCCTGTGGACTCAAGGGTCCCTGATTCGATTCAGCTGTGGGCTCGATCCCCAGTGGGGGGCATGCAAGAGGCAGCCAATCAATGATTCTCATCATTGATGTTTCTATCCTTCCTTTCTGTCTGAAATCAATAAAAATATATTTTAAAAAAATAATAGATGGGCTAAAGTTGCAGCTCCTGCCGAAACCGGTTTAGCTCAGTGGATAGAGCGTCGGTCTGCGGACTGAAAGGTCCCGGGTTCGATTTCCAGTCAAGGGCATGTACATTGGTTGCGGGCACATCCCCAGTAGGGGGTGTGCAAGAGGAAGCTGATTGATGATTCTCTCTCATCGATGTTTCTAACTCTCTCCCTCTCCCTTCCTCTCTGTAAAAAATCAATAAAATATATTAAATAAATAAATAAAGTTGTAGCTCCTATCAATAGTACTCGGAATTATTCTATAACTTGTCTTTAATGTAGAAATGTATAGTTTCATCGATATGATTATATTTCAAATGGGGGAGGGGAAGAGTGTGGATCTGGGAGTCGGGGGGCCTGCGTCTGAACCCAGCTCTGCTAGTCACTGAGACCCAGCCACCTCTCCAGCCTCAGTAAAACGGGCCTGACCGAAGCCCCTCCCAGAGCTGTTCTGAGGGTTAATTAGGCGGCTGTGAAGGCGCAGTACAGGGCCTGGCACGCGACGTCAGTGCTGGTTCCATGAATAACCGCCGCTGTGGAAGGAGGCACCGAGCTGCACGGGGCTTTGGGAAGCACCGCGGTAAAGGGGTGGCTGAAAGCTGGCAGGCGTGGAGCCCCGCGCAGACAGTCCAGCTCCTGCTCAGGGTGGAGTTCCTGGGCAGGGCCAGGAATCCCGACGCCACTGAGGGCCGTGGAGTGGGGGCGTGGGGAGGTGGAGGGACCCGGGGGGTTGCTAGCCTGCCAGAGAAGGGGGGAGAGGCCGTCGGTGTGCACGGGGAACGGGAACAAACCTGTGTGGGTGCGAGCGTGCCGCTGGAGCTCGTCACTCCGCGTGAACCTCTTTCCACAGAAGAACCAGTTGCAGACGAAGGGCCGCTCGCCGGTGTGGAGGCGCACGTGGGCCCGCAGCAAGGACGTCTTCCGGAAGGTCTTGCCGCAGTCGGGGATGTGGCACACGTGCTTCTTCTTGCCCTGCTCTCCAGACCTGGGCGTGGGGACGGGAGGGAGGGAGAGGGAAAGCAGTGAGGGGGGACAGAAGATGGGGGCAGGATGGGATGGAGAGGGGATGAGGGGGCCAGCCAGAGAACACAGCGGAGGTGGTGTGGGGTCGCTGCCTCGCCCCCTCCATCTGTGTCCCGGGAAAGCGCGCGCGCGCGTGGGGACAGGCGCCTGCCAGGCTGGCCCCATTACCTCTTGTCCCCATCCTTGCAGTTGGGACACGTGCAGGCCATGCGGCGCCGCTTCTCCCCGGGCTGGGCCTCCCCGGACAGGGCCTGCTCCATCTGCAGCTGGATCTGGGTGGGGCTCAGCCCACTGATGGTCAGGTTGTTCCCAGACACATTCTGCACCGTCAGCTGCTGCTGGCCTGTGGGTGGCAGGGCATGGTTGGGGTGAGGAAGCCTGAGGGACAGAGCAGGGAGCCTGACACCCCCCTTCCCTTCTGCACATGATAAGGATAACCAAACAGCTAATGCTTCTGAGAGCCTGTATGCCTGATACGCCTTCAACCTTCACAATCCGGTGAAACAGATACTATTATCCTCCTTTCACAGCTGAAGAAACTGAGGCTCAACAACATCAAGATCACACAGCTAATAAGAGGTAGGACTCGGACTGAACCCAGGCAGTCGACTTCAGCATCAATGCGCCGAACCACTACACCACACCACACTTTCTTCCAGAATTCCCTCCAGCCTTAGGCCCTTGTGAGATAGCTGCTTTCAAGAAATTCTCCAGGGATTTCTGTTAATAAGAGTAAGAGCCAGGCTGGTGTGGCTCAGTGGTTGAGCACTGACCCATGACCCAGGAGGTTGTGTGTGATTCCTGGTCAGGACACATGCCTGGGTTGCAGGCTTGATCCCCAGTAGGGGGCATGTAGGAGGCAGCCAATCATTTATTGTCTCTCATCAATGATGTTTCTACCCCTCTCTCCCTCTCCCTAAAATCAATAAAAACATATTAAAAAAACATACAGACAGTTCTGAAGGCTTTGGAAAAAACAAGCCCTCTAGGTGGACTTGCATAAAGCCTTTCAAAGCAGGGGAGTGTTGCTGACCTATTGCTGGTGTTAAAGTGCCACTACCCGGTAAAGGCCTTCACCTGGCTAAAGGCAAGGCAGGAACCGTTTTTGCTAGGTAGCTGCAATAGTCTTTTGCTGGTTTGCAAGGCTGCTTTCCTCCGGTAAATACCACCAGATTTCCCTCTCAGCTGGAGAGAAGCACAAGCCATTCCCACCGCCAAACGCTCCCTCCTTTCCTTCCACGTTAACTCAAGGCTTTCTCATTCTGGAAGTCTTCCTTCGAGTCTCTTTACCCAGGGCCTCCCTTGAAGAGGTATCTGTCTTTGTTCTGTACCAAACCAGTTTGCATTGGTGTCAGCTGGAGTTTCTCCTAGTCTATCTTATTCTCTCCACCACAGTCAAGGTCTCCAGCTGTAAGCTGAGGCCAACAAGCATCTTACACTATCTCACAGGCCACTGTAAGGACTGAGTGGACAAGCCTTTCAGCTGGAAAGGATGACACAGGTGTCAGGCATCGTCCTCACTGCTGCTCCTGGGAGGCGCGGGGTGGCCCACGGTTCCGATGGGAGGGATGCGCAGGCCCACTACCCACGCCCCAGCCCAGGGGTCTCCCCTCACCGCCGGTGTTGGTGATGGTGACAGGCACACCCTGGACTTGGACACCATTGATGTTGATGGTCTGCATGGCCTGGGCCGCCGCTGCCAGCTGGGCTGCGTTCAGGCTGATGATGCTCCCGGCGGGGGCGATCTTCGGCAGGGGCCGCTCTTTCCGGAGAATGGCGGCTGAGTGCTTTTTGCTGGTCCCACTCGGGTGGGGAGCCCGGGGGGCGGGACTGCTGCAGGTGGTGGAGGTGGGTGCAGCCGTTGCCGGGGAGCTGTCCTGGAGGAGGACCGTCTGCACCTCACCGGAAGGCGTACGGAAGTAGACCTGGGAGGGACCGGAGAGAAAGAGTCAGTGTTCCAGGAGGGTCTGGTTCCCACACGTCCTGCCCACCCCAAACGATACTGACTCTGAACATTCAGATCAAATCGGGAAATGCGTCAGCATCGTCTTCAAAGGCAAGCTGAGTGGAGCGCTAGCCAGTTAGTGCTAAGAGGAGAGGAAGGCAGGTGCAGAGGGTGTGCGCGGTACCTGAGTAGGCGTGGGCTCGGCCGCCTGGATCTGAAAGTTCTGGGAGGGCTTCTGGGGGACAGTGGGGAGGGTGGCAGAAGCTGCCTGCACCACTCTCAGGGCCTGCTGGGGGATCTGCACCACCTGCTGCTGCTCGGCCTTGGGGGGCACCACCTGCACCTGCTGGACCACAGCGGGCTGGCCCCCGCCAGGGCTCTGCACAATGAGCAGGTTGTTCCCTGCCTGGATGATGTTGTCCGCTGTGGTCTCGATCAGCACCGTCTCCACCTGCTCAGCCACAGCCACCGAGGGCTGGGAGGCGGGCAGACTCTTCTTCCTGGCTTTCTTGTTGGCCTTGGACAGCGGGATGGGAGGACTCTCGGCCAGGAGCTGCGTGGAGGCCGCGGTGTCGCTGGTGTTCACGAGGTTGTTGACAGGCAGGGTAAGTGTCACGTTGCCACCCCCGCCGGTCAGCTTCACCACACTGGCCCCGCTCTGCACGGGGGTGGAGGCTGTACTTGACTTCTGGACAGGGGCTGGCTTGATGGGGACGGGCTTGTGCCCGGATGGTGAGGGGGTGATGATGGCTTGGTTGGTGCCAGGGATGATCTGGATTTGGTTGGTGAGATTGGGCTGTACTTGGATGGTCTGGCCACTGCTCGCCTGAATCTGAGAGACTGTCTGGTACTGGATGTTGGCATTGGATCGGGTCCCTTTGTTAATCACAGCGGGATTCTGGATGGCGAACACCAGCTGACCCCCAGGATAGGATGTGCTCAGTTGTGACCCTTGAATCTGAAGTATGTTTCCTTTGGAGGACAAGATTCCAAAGCTATTCTTGCCGGGGCTGAGGGGGAGAGGGGCAGGTTTGATAGGGACCAGTTTCCGGGGTGTGGGCTGTGGGGGAGCAGGAGGCGTCACAGCGGCCTCAACAGCGGGAGGCCCAATTTTGCTACATGTTGCAGCAAGCAGAGCCAAGGGGGACGGCTGGGAATCCTGCAAAAAACCCAGAAGAGAAAAGGAGTGAGCCGTGAGGGCCGGCAGCCCAGCCACCCTCTGCCTGTTTGATCCTCTCCTCTTGGCAGCTTCCTCCCGCTGCAGTGGTCCTGTTGTTCCTGCTGGTTTCTCCAGCCTATATAATAAAACCCTAACATGCAAACCGGCCGAACAGCAGAATGGCCAGTCGTTATGTCGCTATGACGCACTGACCACCAGATGCTCAGTGCAGGAGCTGCCCCCTGGTGGTCAGTGCGCTCCCACAGGGGGAGCACTGCTCAGCTAGAAGCTGGCTCACGGCTGGCGAGTGCAGTGGTGGTGATGGTGGCTATCTGACTGCCGGCTTATGAGATATCCCCTGAGGGGTCCAGAGGGTGCAGGCTGGGCTGTGGGACCCGTCCCTCTCCCAGTGCACGAATGTCGTGCACCAGCCTGTGCTGAGTGAAAAGGAGGAAGGGGGGAAAGTCTTTCTCAGGAAGGAGTGCCCGGAAGCACCCAGGACAGGGTGAGCTAACAGCATGAGCTGGCCACTCACTCCCCACTGGCCTCAGTAACAGGGCACAGGACCACCCTGAGCTCTCACATGGAGTCCACTGGCCCAGCACAGGGGTTAAGGGACCCCTGATTCCTCAGCTGAGGAAGGGAGAAGGGAAAGGAAAAGGGAGGAGCAACAAGAGGAACTCACCCTCAGGTGAAGTGATTTCTAGGGACGAGACTTCACTGACCAGGGCGGCTGCTCCTCTGAGGCTACAAGGCAGCCTGTGGGGTGTTTTCCTTATATGGTCAGTGGAGTCAGTGGAGGAAATGTTGAGTTTACTCCTGCTTTACCCCTGACCCCACTGTGGCACCTTAGGTTAGCGGCCTAACCTAGGTGAGCGGCCAGGTTTCTTAGTTGGGAAACAGGAGGTAACAACGTTCCCTGGTCTCACTTCCCGGGTGTTCACAGTGAGTGTTCAGTCTGGGTGAGTGGCAGCTTTAGGAGTCCTTCCAGGCTGTGCACACACACACACACACACACACACACACACACACACCCCAGCCCGCTCACCTGGGTGCTGGAGGCAGCGGGCTGCAGGTAATCGCTGGGACTGACAGCAGCAGTGGCAGCCATGCTGGTCTGTGGATCTGCCGGGAGAAGAGAGTCATGCACAAAATGCCCCAAGAACCCAAACCCACCGTCTTGTATTTCCGTTTTGTCTCTTTGCTGCCGCTTCTCTAAGAGCTTTGCCCACACTGACCCGCTCAAGCTGAGCAGCCCTGCATCTTTCCAGCAGATGCCCTTCTCTGCTCAGACTCAGCCATCCGAGGCTGCGAGGACAGCCGGTCCTGCCTTCCCCGGACTATCCCCTCCAGCCAACATGAAGCCCGAGATAACGCGAAGATGCGAGATTATACCAAGCACAGCTCCTGTAACTGAAGCGTGAACCTATGGAGCCCTCTCTGTGGGGCACTGCTGAGTCTCCCTAGGTCAGAACCCCTGCATGGGGGGGGGCAGCGGATCCCCCAGCCCTGACCCACGTTTCCTGCTCACTGCTGCTGTGCCAGATGTCACGCCAGCCTGGAAGAGCAGCTCGGCTCAGTCAGGATTCCTGGCAAGGAGGACACATCTACTCCACGCCCAAGTCCTGGGTGCTCTGTGCTCAGCCTTCACCACCAAGGCCCAGCGGCCCAGGTATTGGTCCACGGCACATGGAGAATTGCTTTATGGGAATTTACACTTCAATGTAAGGCAATAGGTACGGCCCCATACTAGGTATCACCTGGTTGGCCCAATAGATATCACCAAGACGAGGAAGCTAATCACTGAATATAATGAGAATAAAGATAGAGTAAATTCTATTTTTGTTTAAATGTATATGTATTTCAATATATGAATATATTATAGCAGGAAAAAGTCTTAAATTGCTAAAATGTTAAAAAAATTATCTCTTGGAGGTTGGATTTTGCTGAAGAGAATTTTTCTCATTTTTCTCTGTATTTTGTCGTTTTTCTCACAATAAATGTATTCTATGTGCTCTTTTTAAAATAAAGGAAGATAAAGAATGTTGAGGAAGTAATTAAAAGACTCTCTACCCTGAATTAAGTCTAATCTAAGATAAATATAAGATAGGTAACATGAAAACCATGAGAACTTGGGGGAAAGAATTAAGCTATCTTACAGTTCATACATCACTGAAGAAAAGGGACACTGGGCAGAGCCTAACTTAGAAAGCAGATTTCGGGAAGTACAGAAACAAGAAGGGTATTCACTACGTCAGAGGCTCAAAAAGGCAAAATGGCTGAGGCACTGAGCCCCTGCTGGGCACTGAGGACAGGAGAAGTTGGGGAGAAAGTGGAACAATTCAATGTTAGCTGGCCTCTGGCTTCTCTCTATGGGAGAAGGAGTTTTTTGCTTTTTTGTTTTTAATATATTTTTATTGATTTCAGAGAGGAAGGGAAAAGGAGAGAAAGATAGAAACATCAATGATGAGAGGGAATCATTGATCAGCGGCTGCTTGCACGCCCCCTACTGGGGATTGAGCCCACAACCTGGTATGTGCCCTTGACCAGAATCAAACCCGGGACTCTTCAGTCTGCAGGCCGAAGCTCTATCCACTGAGTCAAACAAGCTAGTGCTGGGAGGAAGGTTCTTAAATGGGAAAAGGTAAAGAAACGGTGAATGGGAGACAGAATCCAGGACAGGGGATGGAATAGTTAAATGGTTCCCAGAATCCAGGACGGGATGGAATAGTTAAATGGTTGTGGGCTCAGCACCAGAGCAGGAGAGGCTTTGCAGCACTGGAGTAAAACGAGTGAGGAGCCAGGGGGCAGCTCCGGGCAAAACCCAGAATAAATGATTGTCCAGCACAGCAATTACTGAGGTAAGGGAGCCGGATAGCAATCATCTATGCAAGCACACGGCTGCAAAAAACATGTCATCCTGAACAAATCTGTGTTGTGGGGTTTGGGCTGGATACATCAGAATGGTATGCACTGCACATTGTCTTCCAACGAGGCCCCTGGATGAGATTTTTATAAGATTCTTGTAAGAAGGGAAGGCACTGCAGGCAGAGTAACGGTACTTGGGGGCTAAGTAGATCCATGCTGTCTGGTTGGCTGCTGCAAGGTCAACCAGGGTGCCTCAAACTAGGGATGGGGCCCAGGACCAGGGTCCGTGGGCTTCTCCTCGGTGGCTCGAGCTTTCTCTACCAGAAGGTTTTCTTCTTGTTTTCACTGTGGAAAGCATCTTTTTAAAAGGAACAAACACTATAGATCACTGGGTGGTGGTTGCTTACCCCAGATTTGTACATTTCAGGGCCCATTACAGCCATATTAGTGCCAAGTGGTGCTTCTCTAACTGTGTGGGCTAATTAAGACAACTTAATTCTGCATTTAACTCATTTGCTACATTTGTGCAGTGTGAGGGAAGACAGCGCTTCAGAAGCTGGGAGGGTTGTCTCCTCACAGACCCCGCAGGGTGGGCGTGAGAAGTCACGGAGGCGCCGGTGTCAAGTCTGTGTTGTGCTTCTGCTGACAACAGCGACTCAGGTCACACTGATGTCCTCCCAGAATGATGCCGTCAGTTTGAATTTTACTGGCTTTTGGGTAGTTATTTAATTAATTTTATAGGAGCCAGATCAGTGAGTTGATACACAGATTTGTGTGAGTACATAATTAAGTTGTAGCATTATAATGAAAGCAATCTAAGTTGACTCAAAAACATCTTTTCTCTACAGCAGCGTTCCAACTATTCAGCCCATGAACCACAGCTATAAAAACAATTTACATCAAGATCCAGGGCGCTCATACACCCACACACTTCCTTGTTCTGTGCTCATGCAGTAAGAGTTTCCGATGCCCGAGCAGGTTTGGCTCATTCTCTCTCATCATTGATGTTTCTATCTCTCCTTCCCTCTCCCATCCTCTCTGAAATAAATAAAAAATATACATTATAAAGTTTGCAGAAACAAAAGATGCCCTGACTACATGTGATGGACTTTTGCTATTTTTCTCCTCTATTTCATATTTTTCTTTATTTTAAAACTATTTTTAAAAAATTGATTTTTAGCCCTGACCGGTTTGGCTCAGTGGGTAGAGCGTCGGCCTGCAGACTCAAAGGTCCCAGGTTCAATTCTGGTCAAGGGCATGTATCTTGGTTGCAGGCACATACCCAGTGGGGAGTGTGCAGGAGGCAGCTGGTCGATGTTTCTCTCTCTCTCATTGATGTTTCTATCTCTCTATGCCTCTCCCTTCCTCTCTGTAAAAAAATCAATAAAATATATATATTTTTAAAAATTGATTTTCAGAGCCTTGGCTGGTGTGCTCAGTGGATAGAGCATTGGCCTGCAGACTGAGGGGTCTTAGGGTTTGATTCCAGTCAAGGGCACATGCCCGGGTTGTGGGCTTGATCCCTAGTGGGGGGATGTGCAGGAGGCAGCCAATTAATGATTCCTATCATTGATGTTTCTATCTATCTCTCCCTTCTCTAAAATCAATAAAAATTTTAAAATAAAAATTGATTTTTAGAGAGAGGAAGGAAAAAAGAGAAACATCAATGTTTTTATTGATTTTAGAGAGAGAGAAGGAGATTCATTGATCGTCTGTCTCCTGCACATCCCCTACTGTGGATCAAGTCTACAACCCAGGCATGTTCCCTGACCAGGAATCGAACCCATGGCCTCTGGTTCATAAGTCCATGCTCAACCACTGAGCCATGCTTGGGCTTTTATTTTGAAACTAGAGGCCGGTACATGAAATCTGTGCACAGGTAGCGTCCCTAGGCCTGGCTGGCTATCTGGGCCGATCAGAGCCTTCTGGCTGACGGCTGGGGACTCCCTTCATTCTGTGCCACCCCTTAGTGGTCAGCATATATCATGGTGACCAATTGGTCTCCCAGTCCAACTCCCGCAGGGACAATTTGCATATCAGGCTTTTATATAAAGATGATGATTGTGACCCATTAATTGCTTTTGTGCCCTAGAGACTGGAAATTGCTGCTTTAGAGTAATCTAACCACCTTCCAACTTTGGGAAACTGTGCAACGACTTAGTAGGCACGTTCAATTTGCAGATGTCACAAGACTGAGAAGGATTGCAAACACGGTGTTAGGGTTCAAAGAGCTCTTAAAAAAATGGCATGTGCAGAAAGCTGCAGGCCGAAATGAGAATTTGTCCTGTGCTAGTCATCAGTGAGGAGGCTGGGGCATTCCTGTCAGTCCCCCTGCACCATCTCTAAAACGGGATTCCAGGAGGCATCAACAATTGATATGAAAAGCATTCATCATATAGTGGGTAATCAGTAAATGGTGGTTTAAACTTTAAAGTTGAGTAAATTCTGCACTTAAGATTTTTTAAAAAGTAACATGTATACAGGACAGGAAGACAGAGCTTAATAGAAAGTCTCATTCGAAAAAGCTGCAGTGGTTTTAACTCAAAGCTAAGCGGGTGCCAACAGAATCTTAATGCGGTTGCCAAAAAAGCTACTGCAATCTTGCATTGCATTTCCCGAAGTTCAATCACAGGAGAAGAGAAGGAAGAGTCCCAGTGTGCTCTGCACCCTTGGGCTAATGGGAGTGCCAGGCTTCATTCTGAGGGACAGTGTGAAGAGGGGGGCTCAGCAGTGGCAGTGGTTCAGAGGAGAGCGGCAGTGGTTGTGGCCTGGGTGCCCGAGCAGCTGTACCCACCAGCGTATTTATTCCCTTCGAGGGCTCAGAGGGTGGAACCAAGATTTCAGGGTGAAGATTTCAAGAAGACAGAATTCAGATTCCGAGAGAAACTTTCAAACGTTGGAATAAGCTGCCTTTTGAAGTAATGTTCTCCCTCCTCTGGAACCAGTTAGCCTGAGGCAGAATGTGTGTCTGCTGGAGTCAGGATGTCTAGATGGGGCGGGAGTTGGACTGAACTGCCTTTTTGGTCTTTATAATTCTCAGACCGCGCTGCTGATAAACACACAAGATGAGCTAGCTGCGGGCGGGGTGGAGAGCAGCGGCAGAGGGCCCCCCCCCCCCCCCCCCCCCCCCCCCGGCTCCTCAGCCCAGGCTCCCTTAGCTGGTGAATGACTCTCCCTGCGACACCGTCTGTTATGAAACGGAGGGATAGGACCGCGGGCAAACAAAATGAAAACTGGCCCAGAGCTTCTTCCTCACCCCCTTTCCCTGCTCCCTGCCTCCCTCTGCAGCCATCACTACCCCGGACGCCCAGGGTTTGGGGCCTGGCCGGGCCCTGAGCGAGCCTGCAGTGAGGAAGCCACAGCAGATCCACTGAAGCGAGCTGCAGGCTGCTGGCGCTTGACGTGGCACCATTTCAGTTTGGTTTCATTTTCCTCCCCAGCTGGCCCTAGACATCCTCCTCTGGACTGCCAGCGTGTTTGTATCTCTCCTAGGATCACGCAGCTTATGGCCCCCGGCAACCAAAACAGAAGCTCTCCTCCCCTATTACACCCGGAGATTAGCCACAAAAGGGAAGAGAAGCACTTCCTGTTGGGTTTTGAAACGAGAATTGGCTAAGACAGTAACTATAAGACTCTGATCAATGTACTTTAGAACCACATTAATTTGGAACCTTATATTTAAAATGTGTAATTGGGACATAAATTGTGCTTTCCTTCATATTATAAAAAGCGAGACTGCAAAAGGACTCTTATTGGTCTAAACCACACCCACCATTTTAATTGTAGTGTTTTCTTTTTTTATCTTCACTCGAGAACATGCTTACTGATTTTCTTAGAGAGAGGGGAGGGGGAGGGAGGGAGGAACATCGATGTGAGAGAGAAACAGCGACTGCTTTCCTGTGCACACCCTAAACAGCCACTGGACCCACAACGCTTCACGTACAGGACAATGCTCTGACCGAGCCACCTGGCCGGGGAGCGCCAGTGGCTTCTCACAGTTACAGCCAGCCACTGAAACCTACCTTAGCCACACTGCAAGTGGGACTATGGCACACTCCAGAAAAAGGTGTCATTTCTTTCAGAGTTCTAGCACTCAGGTTGGCTAATCCCAACAGATTTCACCTTGGCTGGTGAAACTTTACAGGCAACAGTAGCTCTCTCCGGTTTCAAGGGAAACGTCCAAGCCGTCCAGTGTCTGATGGGACCAGTCC